GGGTGGTTTTGACTAAGTTAGAAGGGGAAAGGGGGGTTCTAGAGTTTGTGGGTTGGCTTGGGTCTGGGTGGCTTTGACTAAGTTAGAAGGGAATTGGGGGATGTCAGGGTTTGTGGGCAGGGTTCTCTAATTTCGGGAGGCTTGGGGTGGTTTGCTTAGATTTGGGGTCTCGCGGCTTGGGTTGAGTAGAAGGGTTTGGGAGGGTTTACTCAGGGTTTGGGGGGGTTTTTAAGCTTTAGGGTTCGAAGGTTCAGGCTTTATGCAGGGAGGTTGAGATGAGGCTCAAAGGGGATTTAGGGTTTAAGTTTAAGGGCGGTTTCGGGTTTGGGGAGAGTGTTGGGCTTCAGGGCCAGGGTTGTAGGGTTTGGAGGGGGGTTTTGGGCTTTAGGGTTCAGGGCTTTAGGGTTCCGGGGGGTCTAAAGTTCAGGCTGAATACAGCGAGGTTGAGATGAGGTTGGTTTCGGTATGGAGAGTTTTCGGGCTTCAGGGCCAGGGTTGGGTTTGGAGGGGGTTTTAGGTCGTGGCTGCTTTGAGATTGATTTCCGGGCAAAAACAAATGCATTAAATAAGACACCCACATTTTTGGTCCCGGCTTGAATAAGAAAAAACACGCATTATAGTGGCCCGCTGGATTAAATGAATGGGCCGCCACATTGCGGCCCATGTCACATAGCAGATCCCAATGGAGACAGCTAGTGCACCCCGGGTAGCAGTAGAAGGAGCCTGCTTGCAAGACGAGGCTGTTGACAGGCGGTCTAGACTTGGACGCTTTTCGCCTGAGAGAGAGAGAGAGAGAGAGAGAGATAGAGAGAGAGCGAGAGAGAGAGAGAACAAAAAAGAGACGTGATTGGGGCCTTCAGGTGTAGATGAGGGGTGACACCTGCCACATGCTTGCGAGTCCGTTCGATGCTGTGACCTCATGCCAACGCCAACATATTGAAGCGTTGTTTGTTGATTTGCTTGGGGGAGGGAAGACGGAAGGAAGGAAGGCAGGAAGGAAGGAAGGAAGGAAGGAAAGAAGGAAAGAGGGAAAAAAGGAAGGAAGGAAGGAAGGAAGGATGGGAAGAAGGAAAGAAGGAAGGAAGGAGGAAGGCAGGAAAGAAGGAAAAAACATTGCCCCATGGGCGTTTCGAGCGGCGGGACGTTTGGTAAAAAGAGGAGGGGGAGGAAGGAAGGAACGAAGGAAGGACGGAAGCAAGGAAGGAAGAAAGGATAAGAGGAAACCTACGGTCAGATCGAAAGAAAACACGATCGCACTGGATGCAAGAAGGACGGAAGTAGTGCAACATGCATGAGCTGCCATCAAGCCCGTGGCGAAGCAGCACCACACGCTGACCCTTGTTAGTCTACGACGGCTACTACAATTACGACTACAAAAATTACGACTTCGACGACGATAAGGGTGACTACGACGACGACTACCGCTGGTGCTGCTGCTGCTGCTGCTACTGCTGCTGCTGCTACTACTACTACTACTACTATCACTACTTCTACTCCTACTACTATTACTACTATTACTA